GGTCGCTGATAAGAACCGACGTGTCGAGATATGTGGTAGATGATTATTATGCCTGTATCCTTTGATTCAGTGTGAATGTTTGCAGGGTTCAAGTGAGACTTAATGTGCTATCGAGAATGCATTTCATGTGGTAGATATACCTACTCAAGGAACTCGTGACATGTATGACACACCACGAAAGTGATAATGTGTCTGATCCCCACCTACGTATCTATATGATAGAAATGTATGACAAGATCGCCCAGCCCGCGCACAAATGATGTTGAAGCACTGTTCGACGTAGGCTACCGTTGCAATCTAAAGCTTTGATTGGCATTTCCTATAACAGTCGCTAAATCGCCCACTAATGACCACTTCAGCCGCCCCAGGCACCGTCCGCAGCCGCCCCTGACACCCTCCCCAGCCTCCCCGTACCCCTGGCACTCCCTGGCTGCCCCCGACGCCCTCCCCAGCCGCTCCTGACGGCTGACACTCCTGCCGCCCCGTCTGCCGGCAGTGTGCGCGAGAACAGCGACGGCCAATACTGAGCGGAGCCGCGGCGAGCGGCCCGACACGCCGCCACCCGCACCAGAGACGAGCCAAGCATTCCTCGTGTGTCTCTGCGTGCGAGTGTGGCACCCTCATCCCCGGCGGCCTGCCGCTGCCCTCGCGGCCACGCCGCCTCATTGCATCGGTCAACAGTGAAGGAGAATCGATCCGGCTCGCATTTTGTAGTAAACCCGGCGCTTGCGAGAATACAAGTTTCCGAAACATTTGTGCGGTGTTTGGTTGGCGTTTAGCCATGTGGGGGCGTTTCGTCTGTGCACTCGGCCGGGGTTTCGATGCTCTGTTCGGGAACTGATAATGTGAGCCGCTCACAGCGTGCAGGACTTTCCCCGTGAAGGACCTGCCCACAGTGGCCGATGGCCCCCGCCTCAAGCTGGCTGATAGAGGGCCAATCTACCCCCGGCTGGCGTCCCGCAAACACTCGAACAGCACTTTCCTCCTGACTCAGTGGCCGACTATCTAGGCCCTGTTTCAATGTAGTGTGCTGTACCTAGCGTCGTGCCGTGAAACAGGCCCTCGCATGGATTAGGTATTCCCGGATGGGACACTCCGCCGATTTTCAGACCACCCCCATCGCTCGCCGACCACGACGGCGAGGGCTTTGGCGCCATTTTAGCATGCCATTTGACATTGACGTCATTTCCGGCCAACCTATCATAGCCTTTGGAAAAAAATTGGTCACAATGTGTAAAATTGATGTCCGGGAGGGTACTGAAAGCTTGGTGACGATCGGCGCAACGGATCTGGAGATATATTGAAAAGTCTGGAGGGGGGGGGGGGGGCAAAAAATAGCCCCCCACCAGGGCGCGGGTTAGGATCCGCCTTCTTGAGAGCTTTCGATTGCTGTTTTCCCCATCTTTCTACTACCATCGGTTCGGAAGTTAGACAGGGGGGGCAGAATCTGCCCCGCTCTCCCCAGCAGTGCGCGTATGGCTGAATAGCCCAGCGGGGCGCCGCGCGGGTTAACCCGCGCCCTGCTGGGGGGGGGGTGTTTGAACACCCCCCCCCCCCCTGTGGTTTTTCGCGAATATCTCAAAAACGGCGGCGCGGAGCGCCGCCGTTTTTGGTACACCTTATCATACATCAATTCTACACCTGTTGTGAAAATTTCAGACCAAGGTCATTCAAGGTCAGGTCACCAGGTCACTCGAAGTGACCTCACCTCATAAAAAGTTTAAATGTCTGTCATAGCTACACCGAGTGACCGATCGCTTTGAAACTTTCAGCGATTGCTAAGAGCAATAGCATGTACAAAATGTATATCTCAGAATTTTGATATCGATGACCTAAGGTCAGGTCAATTTTGCGACCTCACCATTATAAGTCAATGGGAGAAAATTGAAATGCGCCTGTTTTGGACGAAAGACATTATAAACACTCCCAAACACTGAATTACAAGTGGTTTAGACACACTGAACATGAAAATAGTGTCTGTGACCCCTGTTTATGCCCTGAGGTCATCTTAGGTCACGAATGGTATCTAACAGTTTTTCGCAAATAACTTTTGATAGAGGCATGCTAGAGCGATGAAAACGCCTTAGATGTGTTCAGCTCGATGATACGGATCGACTGATATGCAATATGACCCTTTCCGGTCAGGTCATGACCTTGACCTGAGGTCAAATTTTCAAGTTGACCTTTCAAGGTCAAATTATAGTTCGTTCGATGCGTCTTGACGAGAGGAACACGATGCCGGTAAAAGTAAGCTCGTACAATGCTTGGGTCAAAAGTTATTGCAGAAAAACTGTTTCCGAAAAAATCGGCTATTTTTGCAGTTTTTGCCCCCTGCAGGCAAAACCGTTGACGTTAGGTCAAATCTGAGGGAATTACTCAGAAAGGGCGTTAATAGGGCTATCGAATGCGCTTTTCCGCGGCGCTGTAGCTCTATTGGTTCCCGAGTTATGCGTTGGCTTCTTGGAAATTTTCGACATTCGACCTGGAAATCGGCGAAAATTTGCCTTCAATGACCTCTGGTGACCTGACCTTTGACCTGACCAAAAAATTGACCGAAGTGATTTCCTCATTATTTTTGACGCTCTTTCGAACGCCGCCTTCCGCGTATCGCTACGTGGCCCAGGAGCCGAGTTAGAAGGGGGGGTGTTCAAACACCCCCCCCCCAGCAGGGCGTGGAAATCCAGGACCCCCAGCCGGGCGCGGGTTAATAGCACACTGTGATACCTGACCCAGGAGTGACGCATTTCAAATAAAGAAAGAATGTCGTTGCTTTGTTTTCTTTTTAGAGGATGATGAGAAATTTCGAGAAAATGAAATTTTGGAACTTAAGGTCGTCTAGCTGTAATTGTATAAATGAGTAATACATTGTACCAGGGGTATAATACAATTTTCCCACTGCATTTGATGAACATACTAAAACCACCTCTCGAAATTTACGATATGAAGAAAAACTTAGTAGTTCAGCAGCCTGCAAATTTGGCTGCCTGATGAGCCAAGGTATGATGAGCCAATGCCATCTGGCGGCAAGGTACACAGCCCGGGCGGCGCAGTCAGCCGCTAGAGGGCAGGGCGTTACCATCCGAATTGAAGTAAAAGAATAAGAGGGATCACAAAGCCACAATTTAAACGGGAAATGTTGGCTAGAGTCTAACGAAACCCGACACAGTCATTTGTGTTTAGTCAGGTCACCAAGGGTCAGCACATGAACCCAACTTTACTAGGGTTGTGCGATGCATGTTTTATGGCAAAATTTTCATTTCCAACTCAATGGTGTTGGTTATAAGAACACCAAGTACGGTTTAGGTCACTTTTACGTGGAGGTCAGGTCAATTTCAGGTAAAAAAGGTCAACTATTTCAAAGTTGATTGTTTTGCTTAAAATGGGTACCTATCGATTGGATGCAGCTTGTCACGGGGAGTCATGTGGTGGTGTTTGTTTTGCGCTACGTGGTCTAGATTTGCTTAAAATTGAGTTTGAGAATTTGACGTCATCAATTTTTAACAGTTTTTATATAACCCTATAACTTGGCCAAACAAGAGGTACCTACCTCGATCTCAAATTTGGTATTTGGATAGGAGGCGGTAGGAACTATCACATATATTCCGTTTTTTCGAATTGCAAAAAAAAACTTCTGGAATTTTTCGGCTATTATATTCAACAAATCTATTTTTACCTTTGGGGGTCACAATCCAAAAAATTTACAAATCCGAGTCGCAGTTTTGTGGCGCTGTTAATTTTACACCTTTCATGTAAAAAACTTTTTTCTGTATCTCTAAAGCTGTAGGCCTGAGAGCTCTTCCCGCGGGCGCGAAACCTTTTTTTGGGTCGAAAATGGCAGAAATGACGTCACTCAGACGTCATTAGCGGCCAGCCTATCATAGCCTTTGGAAAAGTTTTGGTCATAATGTGTAAAAGCTATTCACGGGAGGATACTGAAAGTTTGGTGACGATCGGCGCAGCGGTTCTGGAGATATATCGAAAAAGCTAAAGGAGGAATGCCCCCCCCCCCCCCACCGCCTGGAAGGTTAAGCCCCAGCAATCGATAGCGTCGCGAATAATGCATATAAGTGGCCACCAGTTCTCGTCTATAGAGGAACTTCACTAAGTGATGCAGGATTTTGACTACAAGAAATCTTGGCTCGCTACGCGTTGCGTTGGCCATAAAATGATTGAGGAGAAAATTTGGGACCGATTGGTGTTCGTCCCGTGTTGATCAGACGTCTAGAAGCTTAGATATTCGCGAAAAACTTGCTGAACTTGCCAAAATACCTGCCAGCCTGCTGTATCACCTATTACTTGCTAATGAACTGAGAACTTGCTAATATACTGAAAACTTGCCAAAGTACTTGGTATTTAACTTGCCTAAATGCCGCGAAAACTTGTTACTTTGTGACGTTTATCTCATACGGCTTATAAAGAAGCAGTGCTTTGAACTTGCCAAAATACCTGCCAGCCTGCTGTATCACCTGCTACTTGCTAATGCACTAAAAACTTGCTAATGTACTGAAAAATTACCAAAGTACTTGGTACTTAACTGCGTAATTGCTGCGAAAAAAAAACTTGTTACATTGTGACGTGTATCTCATACGGCTTATAAGGGTAAATACAGATGGCTGTTTTGGATCCCTTTGCTATTCGCTCTCATTCGCCGCTGAAATAATGGCTTTACCGTCACTTTTATTCAAGTTATTAAACTTTTCTTGGATTTTTATGGTTAGCAACGACGCGCATGGCGATATCCCTCTGGCGGCCGCTGGCGGAACTATCGCGCACGGCGAACTGAAACTAAGGGGTTAACCAGTGATCGCGATCTTAGTGTATTTTTTGCTTTTTTTAACACACACGGGCATACTTGGCTGTGTAGGTAAGCGCAGGGCAGAGCGCAGGTGATGCGCGCGCTATCAGACGAGGTGCTGACGCTGCGCCGTACAGACACCTGAGGCCTGCTGAGGTCACCGTCATGAAAGGTGAGATTGTGCTGAGCTTGTGACGGACACCTGTGAGATATGTCATTTATTCGCGATCAACGCCACGTTATAATCATTGTTCATTGCATACACACTAAATCAGCGCTCTTCTCAATCATTACTACAGTCCGCAGGCTGAGTTTTCCAATTCGGGAGGTGCAGGCGAAATGTCAAAATCAGAATTGAAAATGCTCAATACGGTTGTGGCAAGCAGTACCTTGTCAATTTGAAACCTAAACAGGCCCCTAATTGCCGGGGTGGATAAATATGCCGAGTTGGGGTTGCACGGGCGCAGCAAATCCGCCGCCGCCCTGGCGGTGACCTTGACCTCCGCTGTCAGGTGCGGCTCCAAAGCCAAGCCGGCGCAGCCGTCGTGGAATTGGGAAGACTCGTGCTACCCCAACTCGGCACATTTGTCCACCCCTGCCTAATTGAGCTAAGTATAGACATTTGCAGTGTTCTTAACACATTTTCGGCAAGAATACCGCAACAGCTTCCCAGTGTACGTAACGTGCTATAGCGCAGCTTCCACTGGTGCACCAACGTTGCAATTTAGTTATTTGAGGCATTTACAAAACTGCACTATTTACATACCTAATTGTCCGTAGATATTCGTCAACGGGTCACGCTGGTGGCACAGCGCTACTTCTGTCAAATATTCTGTTGACTAGCACCAGCTCCGAGGCGGTTCAGTCAGCACCGATACAGGTTATTCAGCACACGTTCATGGGCGGTTCACCAGAGTCCAAACTGCCAGAGTGCGGTCAGTGACTCAGTCTGTCGACTACCCTCTGATGTTTGCAGCTGCGGCGAAGTTTGCCCACTCCGCCGCTCGCACTTTGCACCTCTCTGCTGGATTCATTTCATTCAGCGATCTAGCAGCCGTTCATACTCGAAAGGCAGGCGGGAGCGGTCATTCTGGGTATTCTGGTACAGCTGCGGCGGCAGTGGAGCGGGGAACGCCGGCACTCCCAGCGAGGGCTCTTTGATTTCCTCGTAAAAGTGGCCCTCCATCGAGGCGGGCTCCGAGCCGCTGGACGTGGGCCGGGTCCGCCCGCTGTCCACGAGCGACGCGGGAGGAATGCTCGCCACCAGGTCCAGGAGGTGGACGTCCGGAGCCGGCTTGGCGCTGTGTGCGCGGCGTCGTTTCAAAACCAGGAACAGCAGGGACACCAGAAGCACAATAGCCAGCGAGAGCACGGCTCCCAGCACCAGGAACACCAGCATCTGGTGCTGCTCGAGCAGCCCGCCGTGGGCGATCGGGGTCTCCGCGCGCCCCTCGCCCCCGGATGGAACCTCTGATCCCCCTGCAGGCTCTGCCAGAGTGTCCTGCTGTTTCCCCAAATTTGGCGAAGTGTCCGTGATTTGGTTGGGAACACGTGTTGTGGAGCTGTTGGATTCTTGCCCCAGCTTTGAACCCAGGCCATGGTTGGCTACGGGTGGGTGTTCCGAGTCCGTGTTCGTCTCATGGTCGTCGTTGCGCTCCAACTCCCTCTCTTTGATGCTCTCTGAATGCTCGACTGTCTTAGGCTGCAAATTGGAGTCGTTGAGTGTCACACAGTCGTCTGCTTCTTCTGGACGTTCTGCAGCGACAATATCCTCTGCACTATTGACAACAACAGTGCGTCTTCCGTCGCCTCCTTCTGGTGATAATTCAGCGAGGTGATCCAGGGGCTGATCCTCCCAATCCATATAGCCGTCGACCTCCTGCTCCTTTCCGCTCTCAGCGTACACATAGTCGTACCACTTGTCGTCATACTCGATGAAGTCTTCGTCGGAAGCACGTGTTTCTGTCTCACAACCTGAGCGCTGTTTGGGCAAAGATGTCCGCCTATCTTCGTCGCAAAGGTGTTCCCCCCAGAGCTCCTGGAAGATTTGGTACTGTGCCGTGCTCAGCTCCCCGCTCGGCTCGGCTCCTGTTAGCTGGCGCACCCACTTCTCCGTGGGACAGACTCGCGGATAGGGTGGCGTCAGATGCAGGCTGCTCACCCGGATCTCGGCGCAGTCGGCGAACGCCAGCGAACCGTCTTCCGCGTGCGGCACGACTAGGCCTGTCAATTCCATGGTCTGGTGTGGGCTACCCCGCCAAAGGTTCAGCCCAACCAGCGCGTCCTTGGTTAAATTGTCGATTTGCAGGTCTTCAAGTTTGAGCTCGAGCTTGGCCTTTGCAGATATGCCGTTTCCAAATAGTTTTTCAATACGTGATTTGCCAATTTGCATAGTGGTGGTCGTGACGTTAACGCCCATCGGTTTGATTTGTTCGAAAGTGGTGTCTTTGATCTTTAATTCCAGGATCCTGCCCACAAAGCCTTGAGTCTCGACTGTACTGATATTACTCGATTGGATGATCAGACGTGGCAAATCGCTGAAACAACCCGGCATCACTTCAATAATTGTGACGTTGTTCAGTGTCACGGTGTCAATTTTTCCATGGAAACTTTTCTTGTTGCATGTGATCATGGTAACGCCATTAAGCTTTAGGTAATATAACGGAGACATTACCCCTCCGGAGCTTAGGTCAAGCATATCAACCTGCCAGATGTCGAGGCTGGGTCCAACCTCAGCAGTCATATAGGCCAAGGCGTTAGGCTTCATATGAAGACGTGATACGCGACCGATTCGAATGCTAGCCCTTGCTTGCCAGACTCCCGAAAAAGCGTTGCTTTCGATGCGAAGTGTCCCAATGCCTTCAAACTTCACCGACCTCATTTCCGAATTCGCAGAAAGCGCCATTCCGTGTCTGCGTATTTCTACTTGGTCGACATCCCGAATGCTGAAGTTGGTCAGTTGGCTCAAATCATTTACTGCATCTTCATGAATGATTACTTGCTTCGCATGTGATATGCTGAGCGACAGCACACTGTGCGGAATTTCTCCCCTTCGCAGAGTCATCTGTAACGAGATTACACAAAATCAAAACCAAACTTAGGTGCCTAAAACTTATATCAACGCTTGACGCCACACCTAGCAATGCATAAAACCAGTATAACGCCTTTTGGGGCGACTAACGGAGCGAGCGAGAGGGTGGGCCTTGCACTTGCGAAATTTCGAGGGAGTACCTCCAACTGACTTGTGCACGGCACCTTACTAACCGGTCTCTAACGATGTGCCAAATTTGAGCACAATCGGCCCAGCCGTTCTCGAGATCTGGAAGCGGCACCCTGCACGTGCGCACGCGCAAAATGGGTCCCAACTGACTTGTGCATAGCACCCTACTAACTGGTCCCTATCCGTGTACCAAATTTGATCGCCAAATTTGATCAAATTTGATCAAATTTGATCGCCCAATTTGATCGCCATCGGTCCAGCCGTTCTCGAGATCTGGTAAAGACCCCTGCACGTGCGCACGTGCAGCAGCACCCCAACTCTGGCACATGGGTATGCAGTGCCTAGTGGGTGCCTACCTACATGCCAACTTTCAGCGCAATCGGCCAAGTTGTTACCGAGATATTGCAACAATTACAAAACCGTCACCTCTTCGTTTTGCACGTGGCACGTGCATAAGAGGTCACCGACACGCATCGGGAATAGTCCAATACTGGGTAGAAGGAATGAAGCTACCCTACAAAAATTACCGCGTGTAAATCGGTCAAGTGGTTGCTGAGATATAAGCCTCGCAAAAGCGTCCGCACGGCCGGGCGGCCGGCCGTACTCAGAAATTTCCGTTAATCTAAGGAAAGACTCCGCTCGCTTCGCTCGCTCCGTAAACACTGGGGCTGGGGCTCCTGGATTTCCACGCCCTGCTGACATGAGTGTTTGAACAACCCCCCCCCCCCCCCCCCTTCTAACATGTCCGTGAAGTTAGCGTCAGCAACATCGACGAGTACAGGTCTCGCGGGTTTTAGCGGTAGGTCGCTCGGCGAGCGGGAGGGCAACCAGTTCCGCCTCTGTATCGGTGACCATTTGCTCCGCCCAGTTACTCGCGAGCGCGTACTACGGCACATAGTAAAGTGGGGAGGGAAGAGTTATAGTGGCAGCCTGCGTAGAGGCTAAAACCGGTTTCTATCGTCTGGGCCGGCGACACGGCATGCGGTCAGGGGACGGGGAAAGGTCAGAGGTCACTCACAATGTGCAGTACCGCATCCCGTCCTCTCTGCGTGCTGACCAGCGCACGACCTCGGCCGTTGGCCAATCGGCATTGAAGGGTCAAGGTCACCCGTAGCTAGCGGGCGGGGTAAGCCGGCATCGTGCCGATTCATAGGCAGTCGTCAAAAGTTTTAGTCGAGGTCGGGAGACGACTGTAATGTTATATCTTGGGAACAGTTCTGTCATTTAACCCGCGCCCCCTTAGGGTCTCCCGAGCGTCGGTCCCATTGGGGGGGGGAGCATTTTGCCCCCCCCCCCTAAGATCTCGAGAACCACGCAAAATAACAACAAGCAGCAAACGGTGTTGGATGGCCCCAACGAGGAAATACCTTTTGGCTCAATTTCATGGACCTCGGTCAAACCGATGACGTCACAGGTCAGGTCAAATGTCGAATTTTCACCGTTTACAGGCAATTTCAAGAAATGTGTTGTAAAATCGAGTAAAATGCATGCCATACATCGATAAGGAATCGATGAATGACAATTTTCGATGGGGCATTGTTCGTCAAACACATATTGTGCTATTTGGGGTCACTGATACCAAGTCAGGTCACAAAGGTCAGGTCACTGAAGGTCACAATATGAAGATAACTATTATGCGATGCATGTTTTCTGGTCCATTTTACATGACAAATGCGATTATGTGGGTCAGGCAACCTTTGGGGCCAGTTTAGGTTATGTTCTGGTGAAGGTCAGGTAAAGGTCAGGTCAAATAAGGTCAAATTTCTAATTTGATATTTTTGCATGAAATGAGTATCGATTCGATGCAGCTCGTCACGGGGAGTCTAATGGTCGTCTTTGTTTTGCGTTACGTGATCTAGAATTGTTAAAAAATTGAGTTAAAAAATTGACGTCATCAATTTTGAACAGCTTTTTCGCTATAACCAGGCCAAAAAGAGGTATCGATCTACAATTTGTTATGTAGCTCGAAGAGAGCAGGGACTATCATATATATTCCGTTTTTTAACTCGAAAACTTTTTTTTGTTATTTCATACCAATTTTTTTTAATTTGGGGGGTCAAAAGCTCAAAAGTTTGAAAATCACAGATTGCAGTTTTGTAGCACCGTCTTTTTTTCTACACGATCAGATAGAGAGATTCGAAATTGCTTGTTAACTGTAGCTTTTGTGAGCGTTTCAATATTTAATGTTTTTTGCTCATTTTTGCTCGAACATGACCTCAGTTCGACCTCAATAACTCCTGACCTAAGGTAACCTAAGACTTGAAGTTTTGTGTGAAGGTGTCAAATTGATGCCCGGGAAGCTATTGAAAATTTGGCGGGGCTGCGCGCCGCCGTTTTCCTGCTATTCAGGAAAATACACATACACAGAGCACAGAGCGAGAGAGCGAGAGAGCGAGAGAGCGAGAGAGAGAGAGAGTGAGAGAGAGAGAGAGAGAGAGAGAGTGAGAGAGTGAGAGAGAGAGCGAGAGCGAGAGCGAGAGCGAGAAAGAGAGAGAGAGAGAGAGAGAGAGAGAGAGAGAGATAGAGAGAGAGAGAGAGAGAGAAATTAGCCTTTTTAGAAAACGGTCGGTATATATAGGTATTAAGCGACAATGCACGGATTTAAAATGAACGTTCATCCTTCTCACAGCTAGCCTGTTCAACGTGTTTCCAGTTCCATCGCTAGTGACCTCGCCTTTAGGCCATGTGACCGGAAACCGGCCTAGCTAAACAGCAGATATTCTATGGGCGCGGTCCGCGGAAACCTTGAAAATTGGCTGTGCCGCATTGTCATTCCTAGTGGTTTTAAACCTGGCTAGATTGGCTCCATGCGCTCCGCAGATCGGCAAATTTGTAGTTAAGCAGCCCTGAAGGCACTGGCCGAGTTGCTCCGCTGGTCCCGGCCAAATAAGACACAAGGGACCAAACACAATTTCACATGTTGCGGACGTTTCTAATCTTAAGTCTAGAAACGAACGGTTAATGAGACCTGACACGCCGAATTCTGGGCTATAATGGGCTCTATGTAGAAACTGGTCACAGACCAAAGATCATTTTGGTCAGGGTCATGAAATTTTCAGGGTAGGTGTAAACTTTCAATTGCAGATGGCCTGAACTTATCCGACTCCTGACCGCATGGGTATTTATTTACTTATGGTGAGAAAAATAACTCACGGCACTGAAAGCTTCGCTGCTATCCGCCACTTTAAACGCAAGTTATTCAGGAAAACCAAGGAGAGGGGTTCATTTTATCACCCCTAATAAGAAGAAGGGTTTCCATTAAAAGAAAACGGTAACATCGATAAAAAACATCTCCTGTATATTTCTCAATTTAATGTGGTGAGTTTTCCGTAATGTTAATAAATCCTTATTAGGTAAACAATATTGTAAGTTGACATGGCACGTCATTTCCATTCTATTTTATCCCGTTCGTTCTAGCCCCTCTCGCCTGCCGCCCCCCCCCCCCCCACACCACCACCACTACCACCACACCGGCTAAGTTGGCTGAGGCGAGGCTGGCGGAGGCGAGCGCCTCCCCTCCCTTCATGCCAAACAGCGCCTGGCTGTCGTGACCTCTGGCCTCACCGCCCGAAGGCTCGTCCGCTGTCCAAGGACGCCCTGCGCGGGCCGCAGTGATAGCCTCTGCCGCGTCCCGCCTCTATCCACCGTTCACCACGCGCTGGATTCATTCATGCCTCTGTGTTTCAGCGTCCTACCCGTTGGGTGGCACCACTGTAGTCATAGGCGACTGCAGGGAAGCCGCGGTCAGAATGCCCCAAACGGCGAATTTTGATGTTTTCTTTTAATTTCTCCGAAACTAGCCGACATACGATCAAACCTTTTTCCATGATCATGGAAGGGAGCTATACGAATAAATAGGTCACATCTTCAAGCCTACAAAGCTGAAGACCAAAAAGATATAGCCGGAAAGGCAAAACCTACGCTTAAAACCCGCGGGACCTGTACATCGTCGGATTCAGAATTGCTTAAAACGCATTTAAGAGGGCAATTGGGGGCGGTAAACACAAATAAGACATTTTGCCCTACCTCCCCTCTTTCATGCCCTAGTCGTCCCTAAAAGGACGGTGCGCGTCAAAAGTGCCTCAAACGTTCGTCTGATCACCAAAATGAGGGTCACAATCGATTCCTCGGGTCAAATGTGACACTGGTGGCGCAGTTGGTTAGTCCTCGCCCGCACATGCCATTTTCCCATCCTAGAACGCAAATGGGGGAGGGTTGCCAACCCCCGCGCCATTTCGTTCCTTTTGGAGATAAAGCTTCGCGGTAAAGACCTAAAAGATTTTTTGGGAAGAGACGAATCCAATGATACCTACCTATTTTTTTCTTCTCAGGTCAGTTATTGACCTTCCACGGGCCTGGTGCCCCTGGGCCTTGACAGGACTGTAACGCCCCTGACAAGCCTGAAGTGTCCCCGGCAGGCACGTGGTGCCCCTGACAGGCCTGAGGCGCCCCTGCAAGGCCGGTGGTGCCCCTGGCAGGCCTGTGGTGTCCATGGCAGGCCTGTGGTGCCCTTGCTAGGCCTCTGGTGCCCCTGACAGGCTTGTAATGCCCCTGGAAGGACTGTGGTGCCCCTGGGCCCTGACAAGCCTGAGGTGCCCGGTCATGACAGGCTCGTGGTGCCTTGCTAGGCCTGTGGTGCTCCTGGCAGGCCTGTGGTGCCCCTGACAGGCCCAAGGTGCCCTTGCGAGGCCGGTGGTGCCCCTGGCAGACCTCTGGTGCCCCTGGCAGATCTGTGGTGCCCCTGGCAGGTCTGTGGCGCCCCTGGCAGACCTGTGTTGACTGGTGCCCCTGCTAGGTCGCTGGTGCCCCTCACAGACCTGTGGTGCCCCTGGGCCTTGACAAGC